CATTTTCTAAAAGTTTGAAATATCTCATATAAAGTATAAATAAGTAGTCGATATAGTCCATATCCTTCACTTGTAATATTTACATCAGATACGAATTGGTCAATATTGGCCAACTGCTTCGGAACCTCCCCCAAAAAGGGTCAACCGTTTGAACAATCATAACTCAAGGCTGGGGGTATGAATCTGTCGGCAAAAATGACTGATACTTTTTAATTAGTTTTTTTTTTGTCGAATATCCTGCAGTGGTTAATATTTTTAAAATTTTGGGTTGGAATTGACTTTAATATTTCCACTCATACCCCCAAATCGACCTAGACGACATCTGCCGATCCAAATTTTTTTCGAACGATGAGGCTTTCCTTCTTCTATATATTCAGAAGTCAATCTACACATCATAATGTGACTCACATTCTTCGCTTCTGCACCAAGATTTTATCGTATTTTTGGTCCGATTTCAAATAACTCTTGGTTCCACTAATAAATTTTGCATTGTAGCTCTGGATGAATAACGTTTTTTTTCTCTGTGGTCACATGAATTGTTGTTCATTTCTACACAGGTAGCAGTAGTGACATAGTTTTATCCCGCCACCACACGCAGTCATTATTTTTTTTGGAGGAGCGTGTTGCAAAATTGTCGACATTTGCAGTTTCATTCACAAAAAAAAAAAAAATAACCACCAAATTTTATCCGCCAACAACCCCCGGCGTATGGGCGAAGTAATGCTACACGCCTTGACTGCATTAAAGGTTTGCTAATGAAAGTGACTGGTAAGTGTATGGCACTAATTGTGTTACTAGTTAGTTCCATAGTTCATACATGCCAGCTGCATACTCAATATAATTGTTTTTGGGTGAAGACTGGAGGTTGAGCGTTTAATTGGATGAGGAATTGGGGACTTTACCAAAAAAGGAGACGGGGTTTATTGTTGCCTAGGTGTATTGTTTATTCTGAGAGTTACAGTGAAATTTTGTATAGAATATTTCTTTTTTTGACATACAGTGGAAATAGAGTTTTCCTTCCTTTGGTGACTTATGGTGAAATTTGATGAGGAATATTTTTGCCTTTGACGTCATATTTCTAAATTGCAATTTTATGGGAGATTTGTGTATAAAGTCACACGAAGTATGTCTTTAACCCTAAAATGAGTTTTTAATAATTAATAATTATTTTGGGTTTCATGGGGTTTAGGTAAGATTTAGACTTTTGATGTCTTCTGGGATCTAAAGTAGAATTTTATGACAAATAATTTTGTGGAATATTTTGACTTGCTACGATGCCGTTTAGAGTGAGTTTTTAACCATATTTTCAAAAAAAGGACCAAAAAGTTTAGGTTACTTTGCGATGTACGATGCACGTGTCTTCTATTTTTGGCTCTACAATCAAAATCTACTGGCTTTTTTCTGAAATTGTTAAAAAAAATCAATTTCAGGATATGTCAATTTTGAACAAAATCGGAAACAGACTTTACAGTTTACTAGAATAACTTTTGACCTTCTGGTTGAAAGGCACCCGGAAATTGGCTAATATGGCTTGGTGGCCCATGGCTTATATAAACTAGTAAAATAGTATACGCCGGATTTGCCGAAAGCCTTTATGGAGGAGGTTCCGAAGCAGTTTTCCAATATTGACCAATTCGTATCTGACCTAAGACTGATATAAATATATGACATCGTGCCATATTTGGACAATATCGTCTACTTCCTATACTTTATATGCGATATGTGCAAATTTGGGGAAATATGTGTGAGGTATCAGATATAGCGGACCGAAATATTCCACTTCATCTAACAAAATAAAAATTTTGGTATGTGCAAAATTTGAAGGTATATCGAACTTTTATATCCAATTTTATGCGAAATCATAAATTCCGATAAATTACCTATTCATATCAGATTTCTGGTTAAGAGGAATAATTAGATAAACATATCAAGTTACATAGAATCGCCGACTTGTTTCGCAAGTTATGACTGATATAAGTATTGGAAATTGTGGACCTATGTGGGTGAGGTACCAGAAGGGGTTGGCAGATATACAGATCTTGCTTGTGAAATTTGAAAAGAGTTGGGTGCTTATTTTGCTTTCTTTGAGCGTCTTGTTTTTGAAAAATCTTGAACTCTATGTGGGGGAGGTACCAGAAGAAATGGTCCGATCTGTACCATATCTATAGCCGATCTTGTGTTGATGGAAATATTGAGATACACCAAGTCGGAATGGAATCGGATAATAATTTCGCGATTTAAGAGTTTTATGGAAACTCTCTACCATCTTTAAAATAGATCTTGTGTTGATGGAAATATTGAGATGTGATAAGTCTGAATGGAATCGGAATTTCGCGTTTTATGAGTTCCATGGATATTCAAAATTTTGACCCTTTGTGGAGAAGGTACCTGAAGGAGAGGACCGATATATCCCATCTTCACAACATATCTTGTATTAATAGAAATAATGGAATTTGTGAAATATAAAGGGAACCTGAGGCTTATTTCAGATTTTATAATCGTTTTGATTAAACAAAACTTTGACCCTTTGTGGGGGAGGTACCAGAAGCAATGGTCCGAGCTCTACTGCCTTTATAACAGATCTTGTGTTGATGGAAATATTGAGATGTGCCAAATCTGAATGGAATCGGAAATTTATTTCGCGTTTTATGAGCTTCATGGATACTCAAATTGTTGACCCTATGTGGGGGAGGTATCAGAAGCAGTGGACCGATTTATCCCATTTTCGCACCAGGCCTTGGGCTAATAAAAATATTGTGATGTGTGTAGTTTTGGTTATTCACTTTGACCCTTTGTGGGGGAGGTACCAGAAGGAATGATCCGATCTCTACCATCTTTATAACAGATCTTATGCTTTTGGAAATATTGAAATATTCCAAGTCTGAATAGAATCGGATGTCAATTTTGTGTTTTATGAGCTTCATGAATATTCAAAATGTTGACTCTTTGTGGGGGAGGTATCAGATGGAGTGGACCGACATATCCCATTTTCGCACCAGGCCTTGGGCTAATAAAAATATTGTGATGTGTGTAGTTTGAAGAGAACCAGATGCTTATTTCGGATTTTATGATCGTTTTGGTTATTCAAAATGTTGACCCTTTGTGTGGGAGGTACCAGAAGGAATGGTCCGATCTCTACCATCTTTATAAGAGATTTTGTGTTTATGGAAATATTGATATAAGACAACTCTGAATGGAATCGGATGTTAATATCGTGATTTATGAGCTTAATGAATATTCAAAATTTTGACCCTTTGTGAGGGAGGTACCAGAAGGAGTGGACCGATGTATTCCATCTTAACACCAGACCATGGGCTAATAAAGATATTATTATGTGTGTAGTTTGAATAGAACCGGATACTTATTTCGGATTTTATGATCGTTTTGGTAGCTTAAAACTTTGACCCTTTGTGCGGGAGGTACCGGAAGGAATGGTCCGATCTCTACCATCTTTATAGCGAATGCGTTGATAGAAATATTAAGGTGAGCCAAGGCTGAATAGAATCGGATGTCAATTTTGTGTTTTATGAGCTTCATGAATATTAAAAATTTGACCCTTTGTGAGGGAGGTATCAGATGGAGTGGACCGACTTATCCCATTTTCGCACCAGGTCTTGGGCTAATAAAAATATTGTGATGTGTGTAGTTTGAATATAACCGGATACTTATTTCGAATTTTGTGATCGTTTTGGTTATTCAACACTTTGACCCTTTGTGTGGGAAGTACTAGAAGGAATGGTCCGATCTCTACCATCTTTATAACATATCCTGTGTTGATAGAAATATTGAGATGAGCCTAGGCTGAATGGAATTTATAAGAGTTATAATTATTAAAAATTTCAAACCTTTGTGGGGGAGGTTCTTGATAGAGTGGACCGATATTGTCCATTTTTGCACCTGACCTAGCACTGACGCAAATATTAGAATTTGCAAAGTTCGGATTATCCTTTCTCTTTCTATGCAGTAAATTATGTTCTTTGAAAATATTGTCATTTTGTGTGGGAGATACCAGAAGGAGTGGACCAATATTGCCCATCTCCGAACTCGATCTAAGTTTTGGCAATAATATTGCGATGTACAAAGTTTGGATCAAACCAGACACTCCCTTCGAAAGTTATCGTGCGCACCAGACAGACAGACGCATATCGCTAGATCGACTCCATATCCCATGAAACGGATTTGGTCCAAAGAGAGACCTAGGGTCTAAAATCGTTATTTCGATGAGGCACGTTTTGGCCCTATCACATGATATATAACCTCTCTAGCATATGGCTGAGGGTATGAAAAGTATGAAAAAAAAGGGTGGGGTGTGGTGACTTGCCCCCTTTATTTAGGTTACTTTGCCATGTAAGCTTTCAAAACGCCGATATGCATGTCTTCCAGACGGTTCGTGACCTATGTCTGATATAAATAATACAATTGGGCATGTTTGGGCTACCTTTCGCTCAGTATGAAATTTTGATTTTTTATTCGAAATTTCTTAAACTTTTGTGGGAGAGGTACCTGATTTTTATGCTTTTCAGTTTAAATGTTTTGCAATTGAAAAAATTGTAGCGATTTTCTCTAAGTGAAACATTTGCTCCCTAAAAATTAGTTCCCTGTCCAAGGGGGTTGTCATCACGGGCAAATAATTTCGTTGTTGTTGTTAAACTCTCCCTTGTTTGGTGGTGTTTTCTTCGAACTTTTTTAATTGAATTAGTCAATGATATTTGACACATTTGCTCTGCTTTCAAATGGCAAAGCGAACCGGACGGGACCAACAACCATCCAACCAAACCCGTGTAGAGTTCGATATTCAACGCTTTGCACAAATGGGTGGTGAATTTCAGAGAGAGAGAGGTAGGTGGTGGTGGTTGTGGCGGCGACGACGGTGACGGTAACGGTGGTGTTGGTGATGGTCGAGGTGACAGCGTCCGCCTTCAATTGATCAGTTTCATATAAAATATGTTTTTTCAAACATAATAATTCTCATTTTGTCAAAGATAGCCAAACAAAGCAGAACGCGGTCGCCAAAAAAAAAAAATAAAAATTCAAAACTATTCGGGGTGGTTTGGCTTTCTTCTACTTATTTTCCGCTTTTCACAATTTTAATTTCTTGGCAAAAGATCGCAAAATTCGCAAACTACAGGCGAGACGACCGTGACCACGACAACATTGTAGAAGATCCGAAAGTTTTGAATTACGCGAATGACACGGGTGAATCGAAATCGCCACCTAAAACGTAATATCATTTTAAGATACCAAAAAAAAATTATAATATTCTAAGATTCTAAAGCTTAATGAGCTGTTAGACATCTGGTTCCTCAAAGTTGTTGCTGTTGGTGTTCGTGCAAGAAATTTCGAAAAAATTGCATATTTTTGAAATAAATTCCGAAAGTTAATTGCCTACGATTCACGTCATTAGAGGACCTGAAATTTTAGCAATAAAATGCAATTAACCAACAAATGTTCGAATAGTTTTTGGAGTGAATTTCGTTTGAGGAATTTCGGTTTCAACCATGATCAATTGGACCAGTTCTACAGATCACAGGTATGCAAAATCAAAAAAATACAATATTAGAAAAATATTAAAAAAAAATAATAATAACTACAAAAATTGATTGCACAACGCGAAAAAATTTGTATGTTCTTATATCCATGTGTGTGTGTGTGTGTGTGCTTGTTTACAATAATAGTTGTGAAAAAATATGACAATATGAACAAAAAAAAAAAAAAAAAAAACAAAGGGACAAAAAGATTTGTTTTGAATATTTATTTATTTTTCATGCATTCTTGCCCATCGATATACGTATGTGGGTATTAGAGGGTAACGAAAAAACAATTGAAAAAAAAATTCTAAAAAATTTCAAATTCAACTGTAAATTTACAATTTAAACACAAGTTGGAAAAAAATTTACGATTTCAGTAGTTTCGGCCCAAACCAATATAATGCGGAACAAACAATACGGAATACGATGCTCTCTAAACGTAAAAACAAATAAACAAAAATATTTATATTCACACAAATAGAGGTGATGTTAGGTCGTCTGCACTTGGCCTAAAAAACTTGTATCCGGCATATGGAAAAGTTTTAGTTTTTGTACCAGAAGATCAGGGCAGGAGGCCTTACATATATATCTTATTCGGCAATAATTTTTCAAAACTCAAACTTTGGGAATTATTTTAGAATTCATATAAGAGTTAGTTCCCTTTCAATATCATCAAATTTTAACCGGGTTACACTTGAACTCACACTTCTATCAGTTGTTGTCTTCCTAAAAATTGTATGTTTCTGTACCACAGACATAATCAAGTGGTCAAGGAACCCGGATAGTTTTTACATGTACTTGCATTTTTTATGTGGACGATTTAATGTTTTCTCAGGAGGGAAAAATCGGTTCAGATTTTACTATAGCTCTCATATATATGTTTCATCCAATCTTATGTTTGAGTCCTCCACTGCCGTAATAAGCACTTCATAACCAAAATATTCGGAACAAAATATCAGCTACATTCTACGAAATAAGTATCAGGAATCGATCTAGTGGTGTCCGTCCGTCTCTCTGAATGACTGGTGTCCACGATAACTGTTAAAGAGGGTATCCGATTTGTTCCGAACATTGTAATATTCATTACTTTGTGGTTCTACAAAACTTTGCAAATTGTTCGAGGTTTTTGGAGAATGGACAATATCGAACCACTCCTACTAGTACCTTCCTCACAACGGGTTAATATTTTGAATAAACAGAACTCTTATACAATGTGAAATATGAATCAGATATAACATCTGGCGTGAAGATAATATATAGCGGAGCACTTCTTCTTCTTCTCCCAAAAAGGGTTAACATTTTGAATAATTATAACCCTTGTAACTTACCAAATAAACATCCGAATTTTTTCCAACATCGCACATTATAATTTCGACCGAATTATATCGGTCTGCGTTTGAACTGCCATCTGCTATTTAAACATCTAAACTTATATGACTTGTTATATGTGTATGGTATAGGATCATTTTCGTCCATGTTCTAGGTTGAACATGCCAGAGGATTATGGCCCAGGAATTTTTAAAGATTTCCTAGTTTTTCTCAAAAATGTATTTATCCGCCAGCATTTGAAACAAGGAGATCAATTTTAGGGTTTTTTGGTAGAGCTCAGATTGCTTGTTTTAACTCGCGAGTGAAACATACTCATGACCAGAAATGCTCGAAGAGAACGAATTTTATTTTTTAGAAAATCTAGGAAGAGAAAAACACCAAGGACCCTGTGTATTTTGTGGGATTTTGGTGCATTATACATACTTACCGATAAGACAACAGGATGACAAAAACTATAAGAGTACTCGCCAAAAACAGAATCTGCTCTATTTCGAGGAAATTTTATTCCAAGTCGAAAACGAGTAAAGCAAACTTGCTTCTATTTGAGTAGCATATACTTTTTTTCATTGTCTTACTCGCGGAAGTACTCTAGGTCGAATTCTACCTAGTTTCAATCTCTACTCGAATTAGCGACGTTCTTCATATCTTCTTAACATAACAGTAGGGCCCTTTATCGGCCTCGAGTAGCTTGTAGGGCTTCCATTAGGACAGCCGCTGGCGCCCAAACTGATTTCAATTTTGTTTATCGGCCAACGCTTAGGATTGGAACTTATCGTTTGATTTCGACTAGACTAGAATTAAAAATACATATTGGTTTAGGGTGGTATCACATAGTCAGCCCCGCCATACCTTGGGTACTTTCCTTATTAGTTTTTGCTATGGTATTGGTATTTTATCCCAGAATTTAAAAAGATGTCTTTACTTTACTGAGATATTTTCTCCGTGGCCACAGAGCGTCTCAGAAATTTCTTGGGTCGTTTAATTTATCTACTCAACTTAAAATGTGTCCCCTCCCAGACCTGGGATAAGTGGCGTTCGGCAACCATTTCTCTCTCTCTCTCTCTCTCTCTCTCTCTTTAGAGCAAACTCACATTCTTTTGGTAAGTGGTTATATTTTCATCCGCACTCCACTTACCTTGGAAAACTTCAATGTTCTTGTTTATCGTATCGTAACTGGGGCTACCTTTATGTTACACTTTTGAAATTTTATTTTCGGAATGTAATAACTGTCCCGTGATAAAGGAATTCGTTGTCCTCACAATATTTTGTATAAGGTAGTGTTCAAACAAATTAATTGATACAAGTTCTGAACGAAGAATAAGAAGGCCCTCATAAATATTAGAGTAAATGGCCACATCTCGTCTGACACCAGATCTGTCGTGGAACCAGGTATGTTCTGACAATCCATTATTTCCCTTGTTTAACTTTCTAAATAAATCGTTCAACTGTAGAAATTTTTTAAAGCTGATCGTATGACATCTGAGAAGATTTCTCATGACGCTTTTTAGTCAATTTGATGATTGACAAGGGCTTATATCTGCTGATATTCAAAGTGAAATTAAATTACATTTCCGAGTATAGGCGAGAAGATGACCGAACAAAATACGAAAGCTCGAGATTTAGCTCTATTGATTTAAAATTGTGGCAGGAGCCTTTGTTGTTACCATTATATGTTGGCTATAGCAAATACTGGAATCAAACTACAACTTTTTTTGTGAGGAGAAATTAGACCTAGTTAGAAGATTAGGTCATGGTAGAATACTGACTTTGCCTAAAGCAAATTTCCTAGCAGAGGATACAGGATTTGCAACAAGATCCTAACGTCCTAAGATCCATCCTTGTCGACTTTGCTATTTTTACCACCAGCAAAAGTCGAGGAACATTTTGTAAACAAAAAAATATCTAAATCGATTCATTGAAAGTCGACTCACATCTTAGGTATATTAGATTTCCTCAGAAAGCAGGCTGTGGACTATAACCCGTTCTTCAGCACCAACAAAATATTGTCTATTTAATTTCTAATTGGGCGAAAACAAACAACAAAATATTGTCAATGTAATTTCTACTTGGGCGCCACCCAACCACTTGGGCGCCATTCCAACGTTGGCACATGGGTGGTATTTTTCCAACTGGTGTGGACGGCATAACTAACTCGATTCATATTAATTCCTAGCATTTGGATTTGGACCGCCCGATACACCCTTGCCTTCTGATTCACTTTGGTCACAGAAGATTGGCTTCCTAGTAATTGCTTGGGCGGCACCCAAGTCAGGAGAGTTCTTCATGACATAAAGTGAACTATAACGGGGTACTTCCTCATGAAATAAGGAATTGGTGACAAAGATCCCACTCATTCATCAGCAAAATAGAATGTCGTCGATGCAATTCCTGTTTGGGCGCCACCCAGGTCAACTGTCATGACATGGCATGAAGAAAGAGGGCCATCTGTATCACTCGAGTGGTTTTAGGCCAAATTAGGTCTGCATGGCACAGCTGACTCAATTTCTTTTTATACCTGACATTATTTTTAGTATAACACAATGCCCCTGTCCTTTCATACACTTCGAAAGCGAGCAGTCAAGACATGACCAAGTGATACCTTTGAATTTGAAAAAAGAAGATTTTACCAGCACAACACAACATAATGTTTTTGATCTCTGATTTCTGCTTGGGGCATTCTCAGGAGAGATCTTCATGAAATAAAGTGAAATGTAATGGAGGATGTCCTCGTGACACCAGGTCGTGGAGATGAAGATCTTAATTATTTAGGTCAGTTGAATGATGTTGATGTAATTTTTGCTTGGGGCCACCCAGGTTTAGGTAAAAAAAAGTCCATCGTGGCAAACGACTGGAACTAGCCTCCCGAAGGTCTGGATTTTATAACTGGCTAAAAACAGTGTTGGCATGTTTGTTCGGAATACCGTATTATTTTGTTGTTTCAAAATAGTCAGGCGTAATCCCATTATTGTTGTTATAACCTCAGCCATATGGCTACAGAGGGTATATATCAAAACGTGCCTAGTCGAAATAACGGTTTTAGGCCCTAAGTCTCTTTGGACCAAATCCGTTTCAGGCATTTGGAGTCGATCCATCGATGTCCGTCCGTCCGTCTGTCTGTCTGGCTGGCTGGTGCGCACGATAACTCTCGAAGGGAGTATCCGATTTGATCCAAACTTGGTACACCATAATATTTTTGTCAAACTTAGACCGAGTTCGGAGATAGGCAATATCGGTCCAAAATATAATTTTTGCACGGAAAGAGAAACTATTATCCGATTTTGGTCCAACTTTGCAAATCCTAATATTTGCGTCAGTGCTAGGTCAGGTGTGAAAATGGACAATATCGGTCAACTCCTTCAAGTACCTCCCCCACAAATGGTCAAAATTTTGAAAAATTACATCTCTCATAAAATGTGATATAAGAGTCCGATTGTGTTCAAATTTTACACATCCCAATATTTATATTAACGCAAGGTCTGGTGTTAAGATGGAATATATTGGTAAACTCCTTCTGGTACCTCCCCCACAAAAGGTTAAAATTTTCAAAAAATATTTTTTGCCCAGAAAGAGAAACTATAATCCGATTTTGCTCCAACTTTGCAAATCCTAATATTTGCATCAGTTCTAGGTCAGGTGCAAAAATTAATAATATCGGTCCACTCCATCAAGTACC